GAATGTATTTGTGAAGTTGTTGTGAGGATCGACTTGTGTTGAATTACAACGTGTTGAATTATAAGCATGTTTATATGTTGAATTACAATGATTATGGTATATATTAGGTCAAAGTGTTGAAATAAAGGGTTGTGCTGAATGTAATTGTTATAAGCAGGTTTATGGAAAAATTATAAAAAATGGTGCAACATAATTCAACAAAAATCATTTCATAAAAATATGAAAAATAGACAGCGCTTTTACCAAAAAAATGTTATAAAAAGTGATATTTTTTTAAAAAAAAAATTCAATGCCGTGAAGAAAAGACAGCGTTTTTCTTGAGAAAGCGCTGCTAAAAGGGGCGGTATAGAGAGTGCTTCAAAAAGCGTTGCTATAGGGGGGAAAAGACAGCGCTGCTAAATGGGGGGTATAGGCAGCGCTTTTATTAAGAAAAGTGCTCCTAAAGTTATTCAGTAAATACACTTTAGGCAGCGCTTTTTAAAAGCGCTGCTAAAGATGGGGGAATAGAGAGCGTTTATTTGAAAAAGCGCTGCTAAAGATGGGGGTAAAAGAGAGCGTTTTTCTGGAAAAGCGCTGCTAAAAGTGGGCCTATAGCAGCACTTTTTACTTAAAAAAAGCGTTGTCTTTACCTTTAGTAGCGCCACTTTAGGCAGCGCTTTTAAGCGCTGCTAAAGGTCTTTTTTGGCATAGTGTTCCTTCATTAAATTCATAAATCCTACAACTTGAAATGCACATATAAACACTTCAATGTACACTGCAACTAATTCCTTCTTAGAACACCAAGATATTGGTGTATTTCCATACATAAAGATGTATATATCAGTTGTTTTCTTTCATCTTTATCTCCACAACAGCTTGAGTCGGTATAATCGAGTAATTTGTAGCTTCTACTTTTATTTGTTGCAGAAAATAAAATTCGATAGTCAATCAAACCTTTGATGTTTCTTAGAATTCTCTTGAATGCTGCCAAGTGTGATGCATTTGACTTCCCCTTAATTCAGCTTACTATGCCCACACTAAATGCCAAGTTTGGTCTTGTATTGCACAAGTACCACAATTATCCAATCAGTCTCTTGTAATGCATTTGGACTAATATCCTACTCATCTTCATTCTTTGATAGATGCAACCTTGGTTCTCTAGGAGTAATTGCCACATTACAATGCTCTATTTCAATCCAAAATGGATATGTGCAATGGTTTCAATCCTAACCACCAATGTAAATACTTCTTAAAAGTTTATGTCTTCTCTTTGCAAAAATATCTTTTCCACTAATCAAGCCATATGCTTTATTATTTCACCATTAGGATTTTCTTTCACTTTGTATTCCCATCTCACACCAATTGGTTTTTCCTTGAGGTAGATCAACTAGTTCCCATGTCTTATTTTGTTTCAATTATTTTCAGCTTCTCCTTCATTGCACATATCCATTTTGGATCACTCAAGGCATCCTACGTTTTCATTGGTTCAAATTCAGTCATGAGCACAAAATGGACAAGATCACCATTATTGTTCACCTCATTATCTAAGATCAACTCACATCTTACAATCTCGCAGGCATGCCTCTTTCCCTTATCAATCTTCTCACATTTTATTAAACTTGGAATTCATTGACTGCAGTTTTTTCCCTTTCAAACACTGCAAGAACAATTACAAAATTGTTATAACTATTAGATTCATCGGTCATAGTATGTTATTAGTCCCTTAATTCATCAAATATCATGTCCCTACTGATTGTGATTCTTATGCTAACTATGTCATAGTTTTTATAGCCAACCGTTGAGTGATACCCAACAAGTATAATTTGTTTTGCCTTGTCATCTAACATTTTTCTAAGCTAATCTAGAACATGTTTATACGTAACCAAACCAAATACCTTCAAGTGACACACATTTGGCTTGAATATGGATTATGACTCTTTAAGTGTAATATTTTTCAGCTTATTTGTTGGACGCCTATTAAACAAATATGCAGTTGTGGACATCGTTTCTCGCCATAATTATTTTTTCCAAATTCTTCCCTTTCAAAATGTTTCTCACTATGTTCATAATTGATCGATTCTTCCTTTCGGCAACTCCATTTTGTTGAGGAATATATGGTGGCACTACCTCATGTACAATTCCTTTTTTTTTCACAAAATTTCCTTAACTCATTTGAGACGTATTCCACTCTACCATCTTCTTTTAGATTTTTAATTTTGTAATCACTTTGTCTTTCAACCATGAACTTCTTGAATACTTCTAGCACCTCGTCTTTTCTTTTGATCAAGTAAGTCCACAACTTTCTACTAAAATCATTAATGAAAGTGACAAAGCACCTATTGCCTCAAACTAAGTCAATTTGCATTGATCCAAAAATGTTTAAATAGACTATCTTAAGAGCACACTTGGTTGTGCATCTTGCATCTTTGCTAAAGCTTCCTCGGCGTTTCTTAGCATGCACATACTCTTCACATACTTCAATTGGAATATTGATCAATGTCAGACCTGTAACCATGTTATTTTTCTGCATATAATTGAGATCCTTGAAATTCAAATGCCCAAACCTATAGTGCCATATTCATTCTTTCCTACTAACAACCGTGACAAGACACCTATGCTACATTACTTTCAATTCAACTTTTAAATTTCTATTTTTGTCCATATTGGCCTTTAGGATCAGACTCTAATTTGCATCTGTAACTTTCAACACTTTATTTTCCACGTGAATCTTATAATTTCTTTCAAGCAATTTACCAATGCTTAAATTATTACTCTTGATTTGAGGAATATACAACACATTGTTAATCTAAGGTTGCTCACCATTCTTACTCTTGATTGATGCATCACCAATACCCTTTGATGCTAGTGTGCTCTCATCCGCAAATTTCATCGTATTTTTACAAACCAATCCTTCCTTTCTGCCATTTGAGTTAAACACTCAGAGTCAAGGTGCTATTGATCAATGTTCTGCATCTTATCACATAGTAACCATCATGTTTTCAATTGATAGTAATTGGTTATGCTTTTCTTGTAACCGGTTATAACTTCCTTTTCTTGTGTTGTTTTCTGCTTCTGCAATTACCATCAATAGTGCGCTCTCATCATCTTCTTGATTTGCAAACTTTTCTTCACCTTTTTGTGGATCATTCTTGTAGGCATTACATTCACTAGAAAAATATCCAAGCTTTTGACAATTGTAGCATTAGACATTGCTCTTATCATCATTCTTTCTTCCTCTTATTCCTCTATTTTTCCACCTTTGTAATTGCTTGATCCATTACCTCTATTGCATGTGCTTTCACCCTTTTAAAATGTTGAATTTTTGGAGTCCCTTCCACCCTTTTTTTCATAGTTTCCTCTACCTCTATTCATGAACCATTTTCCCTACAACATTTTGTCTTTTCAAATGAAACGAGCATGCAAAGAAATTTCAGTCTTTGCTTTGTCAACATTCCTCTCCTTAATTCTCTGCTCATGAGCCTTAAGAAAACTATGCAACTCTTCTTTACTCATGGTTGAAAGAACCTTGGACTCTTCAATCACAACAACTATGTTATTGAATCTTCATGTTAAAGATCTCAAGATTTTACCAACCACATACTACTCAGTGATTGTCTCTCCACATGCTTTCACTTGATTCACTAATCTTGTGATTCTTATAGTAAATTTACAAATGGTTTCCTTGTCTTCCATCTGAATCAATTTCTACCGCCTCTTGTGAGTTTGCAACCACACCACTTTTGCCTTATTAGCCCATGAATAACTTTTCTTCAAGAATTCCCAATTTTCCTTTGAGGAAGTGCAGTCACCAACCTTCTCAAAGTTATCAGCATCAATGCGTTGATGAATGAGATCCAAAGCTTTGAAATCTTTTGTCTTCTCTTCATTGTGTGTAATCCTTTGTTCAGTCATTTCACCTTTTACAAGTGGATTAACACCATTCTTAATCACTTCTATAACATCTTGACAACTAAACAACACATTCATCTGTTTGCACCACTTGTCATAATTCTCTGCATCAAGAATTTGGAGATTTTTAGGGATACATTTATTAGAGATGGAAAATATTTTTACACACTAAGTGTTCAATCAAAGAACCAGACTCTTAATGCCAAATGTTGAGTCAAAACTCCAAGGTAAAATGAGGAACAGGAGAAATAAAGTGAGAAATTAGAGAGAATTAGGGTGAAAATGGTCGCTCTAATTAACAACCCAACATGGGATATACACACAACAATACAAAAGTGTACAACTAACCAAATAAAAGAAAAAACAAATTTTCCAATCCTATGTAACCAGTTACATCAAACCTGTAACTAATTACTGGAAGCTATCGCCTTCAAAGATATCAAAAATTGAAGGGTCCTTCAACCGATTATAAGTTACTTTTGTTTAATATTTTTGTTGCTTACCACCTGTTGTAGTCGGCTACACCAACTTAAATTAAAAAAAATCACAATATTATTAGTATTAACATATGTGAGACTCCACTAATAAGTATTATAGGCATGTTATGTTGATTTATGACATTAAGAATATGTTATATAAAAAACAGACAATTCAAAATTATCTACAGCCTCGTAGAAATAAATCAAAATGATAATTTCATGGTCAAACTCGATTATTTTTCTAATCTTGACCTTTTGGGTCAGCCTTCTCGTCTCCATAGACTTAGCCACATCTTTGGGAACGACATTGTAGACTTCTTTTTTTTTGGTTGAAATTGTAGTCATCTATTTTTCTTATTCTTCTTTTAGCCTTGTAACAAACAAAAACTATGCTTTACCTAATTTTAATAATGCATTGTTTTAAATGTGTCATTTATTATTTACTTGTTTTGAGAAATCATCTATTCTTACAAAATTTTGGATATTATTTCATTAATGACAAGCCATCAAACAATACAATATTGATAATTCTATAGAGAAATAACAATAAATAAAACATCTATATTAAACAATCAAATTAAAAAATAAAACTACTGTGACATTCTTGAATTTTAACTCAAACTAGTTATTTCATCAATAACGTGAAGTAGAATCATCTTGTAAAAGAGGTTCTTCCAAATCAGTTTTATAGTTTTCATTTCCACCAGATTCATAAGCCGTAGATTTTGGATCTATCTTCTCTTTGACATCAACTACATCTCCAGCTTTACCCCAAAGCACAATATACAAACCAATAATTACTCCAATTGCACCTATCAAGCTGTCACACATAATTTTTATATTAACATTATTTAATCAGATTAATAATAAAATATGTATTTATAGAGTTAATCTTCATTATCATTACCTTCCAATATATATTTCCTCATGAAGTACCAAAGCAGCTAATACAGTCACAATCACTGTCACAAGAGGGCTAAACAATGCAGAGAAAAGAGGTCCTCTCTGTGTTATGCACCATGCTTGAAGACAAAACATAACCGCTGATCCCATAATTCCCTACAATATATATTTATTACAAATTATCTAGGATTAATGATGTATTCATTTATATGTATAAATATTGGTGATTCATCGTGAAAAATTACCGCATATAAAGTGGAACCAAATTGAAGTAGAGAATTAATCTTCCATGCATTAAGGTCTGGCTCCAAGAATACTGTCACTACGGCTGATTGTAATGTTGAAATGAAACACATCCAAGCTGACAGTGATAAATAATTTGGATGACTTTTGTAAACTGGAACCTGAAATATATATAAGGCTGAAATGTTATATGCTTATAGAATAATAGTTATATCATAAGTAATAATTATTAAGATTTTAAAAAACAGTCTCTGATGGTACCGATATTGATTTTGTTACTGACGGTTTTTATGATAAGGAATAAATTATGGTTAATTCTCACCGCGACAATTACTAACAGTATTGCAACACCTGTGCCGACTAAAATCGCATAAGCATAGACCGTTTAAGACATTGATTGTACTGAAATTAAGTACCTGCAAAATTAGCCAAACTGACCAGCCAACACTACTTGCCAAAAGAAAAACACATCCTAGCAACCAATTCTGATCAGTATCACTTCCAGCCATGATTGATTTAGAAGGTATGATCGTTGCATTTAATAGTTTTGGACCCTTCAATAATACTATAGACAAAGCTCCACAAATACATATCAAAGTCCCCACAATTTTGGCTATAGTTCTCAAACTTGTAATATTTACTTTTTCCATTCTGTAAAATATTCAAAGAAACATATTATTATTGGTTTGAATTTTGATTGACTAACAAATAAAAGTTAAGTTAGTTATTAATTACCCTACAAAGGCTGCTATTAAAAATGTAACTCCGGGAATAAGATTGATCATGGCACTTGCAATTGAAGAAGACGAAAGATATAGTCCCTCAAAATATAGATTTTGATACAATGTAATGCTGCAACATCAAACAAAATATAAAACAATTTGTTTAATTCATTATACATATACAAACATAAAGCTTTATGAATGATCTATACATTCTAAAACTATATCCACATTTATGAAGACACGTGAATTCATTAAATTTTGTGTAACTCGCCAAACAAACTTTATTTGAAAAAAGTTTTCAGATCTATATTTTTATGTTTTAAAATAAAGTTTATTTAATAAAAGTGTAATGTCTTTCAAAACATTATTATATTTTTTAATTTGTCTACAAAACCTCAAGCAACAGTTTATTTAAAAACGGAAATATTAAAGCATCTTTAATGAGAGTAAATTAAATGGGTAAACTAAGATATTTTTTGTGGGTTCAAAGTATTTTGTAGCAGTTTTTACTTTAATGATGGTTGTCTATAAGTAACCAAAACTTGATCCCACTATTTTCAAATATTATATCATTACTTTAATGCTGTTGGAATATTTTATTAATTAAATAAATAATATTATAATATATTTCACATAGTTAACGTTAATTATATAGATGATGGGAACTAAATTTTAGTTCACTTAGGTGCCATGTCAGCTCTACTATAATGCAAATTCTTTATTAATAATGTAAGCTATACAAAATTTTAATTTAACAACCCTGCACTAAAATTGCTGTAGTTTAAATAACCTAGATGTCAAACTTCAACCCTAATCTGATATTTTAATTTTAAAACTCATGAAAAGTAATGGAGACAAAGCTTCGGTGGCATTTTCAATTGTAGCATACCTTTTGTGCTAGTGCTCTTCTTTAAATAAATAATAGTACTGTTCAGATTTATAGTAGATTTTAAAATTTGAACTCCTGAATTTTTTATATTATTTTTTCTTCCTTGACAAATTCAATAGTAATGTTATATATATATTAGAAAATTAATTTATTAAAAAAATAAGTAAAAAGATTAAAGTATGTGTTTGGCCTTTTCTTATGCCTGATTATAAAAATAAATAAATAAAACAAAAAAAAACTACTTACTGTTTACTAAGGGACAGGGGACAGGTAGAAGAAGAGATCTGAGATTTGGCATTTCTTATGCCTGTTTTGTTATATAATATCTTTCTGCTCTTAAAAAAAAAGATAAAATATGCATTTATTTTACTAGGAAATGGAAACAAACCCGATCAATGAAGTGAAGAATATCCAGGAAAAACTCTTTAAATTTAAGGAGCAGGAGAGAGAGTTTCTCCTGTTAAAAAAAAAAAGAAAAAAAAGAAAGAATAGATTAATTAATAAGCAATAGGAGCAAGATAGAGTAATTAAGAAATAATAATAGCAAAGAATGAGAGTTGTAATAGTTACCTTGATGATAAATAAGCAATAGGAGCAAGAAAAATGGTGGCAAAAGCATGACGATATACCACAAATACCCTTGGGCTCATACCCTCCAAAAGGGCAATTCTTGTTCCAAGAGTCATACCAGAATATATAAACTGTATGACCACCATAACTATTATTGGAAGATAATATTCCATGTTGAAGCTTGCCATCTTTGCTTTTCCAAAACAAGAGCTTGTATGAAGAGAAAGAGAAGCTTGTTAGTTATTATATACTCCTATTCCCTTATACTTTAAATATAAACAATAAGGGTTTTATATAACTATAATAATTGAGACTTTCTCCTTTTTAAAATCACCATTATTTTAGAAAAAAAGTTTGTTTTAAAATGAATGTAGAAATTACTGTTATTTTTTCAACAATATTCTTTTAGGGAAAAAATAATGATTAGTTAAGATATTATAGATAAAATAAGAGTCATTGTTTAAAAAATAAACGTAATTATTAATTTTTTTACATATATGAATAATAAAAAATTATAATTAAAAAGGAATTTACGGAAACGGAATAATATAAAAAAATTTCAAATTATATTTTGAATCTAAAATCTTACAACATGTAAATAAGAACTTAAGCGTCTATACTTGAATGCCAACAATATTCATGCTTTATCATATATCGAATAATTTATTATGAATTTATTATTTTATTTTTAACGGAAGTCACATGCAGGTATATTATATTGTAATTTGTTTGTGGCTGCTCCGACGGTCTTGACTTTTGTGGTTTTTGTATATGCTTTATTTTATTTGATTTTTGTAGTTGGTATAATATTTTTTATGCTCTATAATTATCTCTTATAATCTATAACATATTTATAATATATATATATATATATATATATATATATATATATATATATATATATATATATATATATATATATATATATATATATATATATATATATATATATATATATATATATATATATATATATATATATATATATATATATATATATATATATATATATATATATATATATATATATAAAGATAAACCATGATGTTTTGGTGTAGTTTATTTTTCTATCAATTTTATCCTTACTTTACATAATAATTTCTATTGAAACTGCTACTACTACCATCTTTCACATAACTTCTCACTATTAACTTTCTACCCAACTTTCTATTATTAACTTTCAACATAACTTCCTTTAAAAATTAATACTATATAAAAAAATATCATTTAAATTTTTACGTGTGTGCATTAAAAAAACTGGCAGACGTGCACGCGAGTGGTAATATATTGGAATAATACTATATTAAAATGAGTAGTAATATATTGGAATAAATGAGAAACATTCCTTTTGTAGTTAAAATGGGTCATGATGTATTGTAAATAAATTGGGTGCAAAAAGAGTTTTATATATAGGAGTAGGGTTATGTGAAGGCATCAATATGTCTTTCACAAGTATAAAAAAGGGCCCGTGCATGTTCTCATTCCCAACAAAAGCACATTCGTCAGGGTCAGTTTCTTTTTCTACAACAACCACCAAAAATGGCTTCACCGAAATATGCATCCAAGAACACCAGGTATGCAAATCGGTAAGTCATGTTGCATGTTGAGTTTGAATTTCTACTTCATATTTATGTAATAAATGTCATGACGTAGAATGTGTCACTTTTTAAGTTGCATGTACATTTAGAATGTTGTAATTAGTTTAGATTAACTTGGTGTTGAAGCGGTAAAGCAGCAAGCAAAAATATTATTTTTGAAAGAATTTTCTCCGGGATTTATCGTCTCCACAGGGATCAGTGTGAGGGAAAGAATGTCGTTCGACAATCTCTACGTCTCTAAGCTTGGGTTTGAATGGTTTGGGATAAAAATTCAAAAGGAAACACATGAAACAAGAAAATAAGTACATTCTTAAGAAATGAGAAAACTCGTCAGGAGTTGTATTTCGTTCTACCCATCATGTACTAAAAAATATATGGATCAAATGCACGCAACCTAATTTGCTCGTCAATATCATCATGTATCGCTCACAACTGAGCTTATCTCTAACGCAAAGTCGAGAGATCAACCGTATCGTCTCATTGTTGATCTCTCACACAACTCGACAACACGGAGCATTAAGAATCGATACCCGCGTGAATATTAGTCCTAAATCTATCTCTAGCATTTAGAATCTAATAGATGTTCATCTTAGATCGAGTTCGAACAATATATGTCTATAGCAATCCAAACCCATTAAGTAAAAAATCAAGATAATCATCGATAAAGAGTTGTAAAAGAGATTTTATACAAAGATCCATAAATATACATACAATCAAGATAAACTTACATACAAAACCCCAACAAATGAAAAATACATAGAGAGGAAGGAAGAAGAACACAAATCTCACGGTCTGTCAACTCCGATTGAAGTGGATTCGACTTCGGATCGTCAAGATGCACCCTCCAATGTTGTTTCTAAGCTAAATCTACTCAAGAATGTGTTTGATGAAGTTGGGGTAAAAAGTTCCCAAACAACATAACCTAAAAAATACTGAAAAATCACTTAAATAGACAAAAATGGGTCCCAGTATTCGCCTGGCTAAGTCCTGTTTGCCTGGAGAACATATGCAACTTTTGCTACTGCCAAAACAGTGTTTTTCATGCGTTTTAGAACTTTTTGTTCGCCTGGCGAACATGATAGCAAACCAGCACTTGTTTCGACCATAACTTCTAAACCGTAACTCCGTTTTACGCGCGGTCGGAAGCGTTGGAAATATTATTCAATGCTATATAAGATAATGACAAAATATCATTGCTTATATACCTACAAAAAATGAGAAAAAATCAATTAAACTCAATGAAATTTACGCGACACTCAATATATACACTATAATTTAAATTATACAACATATGCACAAAAGTTAAGGTGTATTGGTTGAATCAAGCCAATAAGTGCCAATTATTTACACTCAAAATCAGTACATTTTAGCACTTATCACTTGGATGTATTTTAGATGTTGTTGCAGAGCATCTTCTGATACTCCATGAGATCTAGATTAGGTTTGGCAAAGGTTAAATACACCGCATGCTGAAGCAAAAGAAGATGCATCAATCGGTTTGCAAAAGAAAGTGTTGTTGATATCTCGAAAAAAGAACATGAATAAGAAACCTGTTGCTGTGGATATTTCCAACTCAAGTGGAAGTAGCAGGTAATATGTTATAGTTCATATTAATATTTATGTTGTTGTAGTTAGGCTAAGTATAAAATACAAAATAAAGGAGTTTAATGATGATATTGCAGTTTCAAAGACTTATCAGATGGTGAGATTAAAGAGATGAATATGATTCATGAAAAAGTGATAGAGTCATTCGATGATCCTAACATGGACATTCACAACAATGAATCTGAAGAGGATGATGAAGATACCAAAGAAAAAATGAGAGTATCACTATGAAAGAGTGGTGAATTATGGATATAAAGTTAAGAAAAATGTTCAGGTATGTTTATGTTGAAAAAATTTAAAAGATTTATAGGATTGTAATTTCAAGTTAAGTAGTTGTGATGGTTTCTTTATTGCTTTAGCACTTTTCAAAGATTGTGACCAAAAAATTTCTCTTTTGGAACCAAAAAGCCATTTAGCTAATTGATGCAGACAATTGCGATAGGTGTTTCAGAGAAGTTCATTGTGCAAAAAGGAATAAAAAGTTGGTCATATTAGAGAAATTCATTGGCAGAGGTTGGTACGAGTATGCCAAAAAGAAGAGGTTTAGTAGAGGAGACAAGGTTGGTTTTACGATATGTAATCTTTTAGATCATCTGTTTGTTTCAGTTTTAAACCGTTGAAGTGGAATTGATTGCAGTTGGTTGAAGAGTATGGAATATGTTTTGAAGTTAATGGTGAACAAAAGATTGCCGCAGAAGATGGTGTTGTTGAATATGTGTTGAAGTTCCTGCTAATTCTGTTATGCTGTTGTTGGTTAGTGTGTTCTAAGTAATGGTTGTGTAGTATTTTGTAATAAATTGGTAGTGTTGTTTAAGTTATTATTAGGTATTTGTTATATTGTGTTGAATGTTGCAGTAATATGATAATGATGTGTATAATGTTAAAGCTACCCTGAACAATATTTTATATTTAACACTACAACAAAATTGACTTTTAGCAGCGCATACAAAGACAACGCTTTTTAAAAAGCGCTGCTAAAGAGTCATTAAAAAAAAAGAAAAAAAATTGCCTACCAAAGACAGCGCTTTTTGATAAGCGCTGCCAAAAATGCGCTGCTACAGTGTAATAAAAAAAAAAGAAAAAAACAGCATACCTACGACAACACTTTTAGGAAAAGCGCTGCTAAAGGGTTGCTAAAGGCATGGGCTAAGACAGTGCTTTTCTAAAGCGCTGCTGTAGGGTGTGCCAAAGAAAGCACTTCTCTAAAGCGCTGCTGTAGGTGTGTGCCAAAGAAAGCGTTGCTATATCCATGGGCTAAGACAGCGCTTTTGAAGCGCTGCTGTAGGTATTAAAAAGCGCTGTCATAGGTGTTATTATTATTAAAATAAAATATCTCAGAATTTTAAAGAAAGCGCTTTAATTGTGAAGCGCTGCTATATGATTTAGAATAGAAAGCGCTTTGAGAAGCGCTGCTGTAGGTATTAAAAAGCGCTGCCATAGGTGTTATTATAATTAAATTAAAATATCACAAATTTTTTTAAAGAAACATAACACATTGCTAGCTCGCGCGTTCTTCATTCTTTCTCTTCTCTGCGAACCAGAACCCTATTCACCACGACTGGCCGTCGCCCTCATCCGTCCAACTGTCGTTCCTCCGTCGCTCACCTCCGTTCAGCCTGTGTTGCATATCTCCTTCATTTGACCGTCCGTTTTCGACAGCCTCTGTAGCGCATTTTCGCCATATTGTTACGGTATTTGAAGTTTTTCATTTTTCATTTTTCTGGATTATTGTCTTAGTATTTCATTTTTATGGATTATATGATGTTAGTGTTACTTCTTTTCTGAGTTATTGACTTGTTTTTGTTGATACCGTTGATGAGAACTACTCTTTTGATATTGGCTTGAGTTTTGTATACAAGGTGTTTGTTGAAATGCCACAATGAATTTACTTATGTTAATTTTCAAGTTATCTAGTCGTATACAAGGTGTTTGTTCAAATGCCACACCTTATATGAGTTCTTTTTACTAATAATTTTTATTATTGT